TCTGTGGAAGTAAAAACTCGTTGCCTTTTTTGGGACCATCACCATGGTTTGTAATAGTCAGTTTTCAGGAAGAAATAGATACTCTGCTACTCTGTAACACTTGAACGTTTAGCATTTTAAATTTATGTAAGTTGACATTTTATGGACTGCTACAATACTGAAGTTTATGATTCCTTGCTTAATGCACTTACGGAAAGTTGGCGAATCAGCATGAGCTACAAAATGCAGATAATGTCTAATGTGTGTTCTTACTGTCCATCTCAGGGCTGCTTTATTCATACGTGTTTTACAGAGTGCAAAGAGGGTATACTTGACTGCAAACTGTTGCTTATTAGTTAGCATGCACAAAGGATAGTTAGGATTTAAAAACTGCTACTACACTCATTGATTCCAATAAGACATCTGAAGAATCTCTGCTGGCCAGGCAGGCATCAGTCAGGTGGGAGAAAGGAGGCTGCCACTAGTTGTAACAGACCCTTGATGGTCTTGGATTATCCTCTTCGGACTCCATATGATTTTCTTCTACAGATTTGCACCTTTCCACATCCTTCCTTTTGAATGTTTGAGCTACTAGCAAACCTATCTGTCTGTAACTTTATCTTTCTTACCTTGAAAAACTCTAAAGACTTTTTCACAACTTTCAACTAAGCAATTTCCTTAGAAGTTTAAGCTATAGAGGTTTTGGGACACAGGTAACCCTGCAGTTAGGAGGGAGGGGAGAGGGAACAGCAGGAGGAGAAAATTGCCAAAGAACTAATGTGTTGTATATAAAAGAGTTGACTTCCCAGAGTGTAGGTGTCGTAACTGAAGTGCTCTTTTCTGCAGCTTCTGAGGATTTAGTCCAATACAGGTGACGTTCTTCCAGCTGCATTTATGCAGTAGTAATGACAGTCTGTGGCAGGCCGTGTTTGTCACAAATACATATTCACTGGGGAGGTACCTTGGCCATAATTCCAGCTAGATTAAAGGTAATGCAGTGATAGTTGTCAGTGCGTTAGACTCTCTGTCATTTGATATTTTTTTGGTATTTGATTGTAGGGTAATTATGGTAGGAACAGGGATATAAATTGTTTCATGATGTAAAACCTTCAGCTATTCTGATTTTAATTTGTTTCTTGCCAGTCTTCCTTCACCAAATAATTTAAGAAAGCTCTGTAGTTAGACATCCCCATAATATACGTTGGAATTGGATTTGGCTGGCAAAGATTGTTTTTTAATGATTGTTTTAAAAAAGCACTACTTGTAATAGTGAGTTATTATCTTTTTTTCTCCATAAATGTAATTATTTTGATTACAGATTATCTTTAATAAGCCTGCCTGTATATGTCCTTAGCAGTCTGCTTCTAATAGACTGGACTTTGAGGGTGACTGTGAAGGCACAAAAGCACTATATAAACCTTAAAGTTTAAGACCTTCCACATCTGTGAAAATCATTGTTTCTTTCTGTTTTCTTTTTAGTAACATTGCGCATGCTAGTTAGTAAACACTTTGAAGTATGGGGACATAGGAGTTAATAAATTGCCTTTCTTGAAGGAAGAGAGTACTGGAAGCATTGACAGAAGGGATGATATATTGCAAATTACTGCAATATAATGAGAATGATTAAAATAACAGTACAAAAAAAAATTCAGGCATAAGTATATGAATTATAGTATGTGCAGTCTAGACCTGCTGTAGAATTGCTTTAATTTTTTAATTAAACATTCATCTAGAAGCGTAATGGTTTTACCATACTGTAGTTAGATTGATATAACAGACTGGGTGGCAGTAAATCCAAGATGTTCTGAAACTCAGAGCTTCACATAGCAATATGTATAACTTTCTTTGAAGTGTCCAGTTTCCCATATTAACCTCCCAACATAGCAATCACAGCTTTGTGAGAAGTTTCTAAAATGTAGCTGCACAAAAAGTGGTACAATAATAAAGCAATAGATTGTTACATGAAGAAAAAACACACTGAAAAAATGCAGCCAATTGTTCTAAATTTTGTCAGGTAGCATATTTTGAAATATAGAGGTCACCACTTCTAGCCAATTAAATTCAGTCATACCTTGAATAGTCTCAGTCACTCTTCTATGAAGTTGATTATGGTATTTCAATAAAGATCTAAAATTAGATGAGATTCAACGCACTGCAGAGGATCATTCCTCATCAGTCTAAATGCAATAATGAACTTGCATTTAGTAATACACACTTAAATTGACAGCTTTCACAGCATTCTTATTCAATTACTGCAGCAGGTTATATCAACAGTATCTGTTGTGAATGGAAGATTGTGTTAGGGAAAAGGGTGACAGTTGTATAAATCTGAGATGAGGGGAAGGTTTTAAAGAAAATCTGTGAATGAAATTGGGAATGTTGACTTTCTTCTAATAGGCTTTAATCCAAAGAAATTCTAGGTTGGAGGAAAATTAGGCATGGTGCTGCTCATGCCAAGGAAAGGAAATGGGATCGTTAAGACAATTTCATTTTATTTCTGATTCTAGAGTGTATATGTTGTATGACATACAGATGCACTTGAAAGCCATTTTTGGAAAGCTCATTGGAGAGCAAAAGAAAATTGATAACAACAGGGGACAAAACAATTAACAGCTATATCTACAAAGTAGAAAACAATAAACTATCAAAATGCTGTACACATTTCCAAAAGTCAGTAGTGTATTTTAAACCAACAGAACAGAAATGGTCTACAAATAATCATGTTGATCTGTCATATTACTTTCAAATCTTAAAAGGGATGCCATGTTTTCTTGAGGAATGCCATTTCATGGGCTAGCATTAAAGCTAATTTAGAGCGAATTGTTCTAAACCAGGTTTGGAAAAAAAAGAGATCAACTTTTTTTTTTTTTAAGAAAGTGCATTACACTAAATTTACTTGGCTTGTTTTTTTTTTTTTCCCTACATTTGTTTTGGGCAGTTCCTTGTAAAAAGGTAGCCTTATAGAATTCTCTGTAGTTTGCCATGAGAATCACAATCAAACACCTGTTTGTCCTGGTTCCTCTTTGTATCTCCTCTTTGATAAGGAAGCTAACTCTTTATCCAATTAAAATCCCTTGTAATATCTTGAAAATTGGTATAAATTTATTCAGAAACAAAATAAATTAATCACTGTAGAGATGACCATTATTAGTTTAGATAGCTGACAGAAAATTTTTTTCTAAATTATTCTACTACAATTAACTAAATTAGTGTAGTTGGGAATGAGGGAGGTAAGTGTACAAGTAATACTGGGTAGACCTTACTCCTCTTGATTTCTTCAATCTAATTATTGTGCAGTAAGAATCCTGACAAATGTAGTCATAAGGATAGATATATATGAACAAATAAAGACAAGAATGAAAAGGCACATCCATATAATAAGTCACTGCTACGTACTCTAGTAATTTTCTTCTGTAGGAGGTGTCTTAACCTGTTAAAGAGCAGAGAATGGAAGTTCTCTGGAAATTAAATAGAACTATGGGCTAATAGTACATAAAATATATTTAGTTATTGAACTAAGACCATTTGAGTATATATATCAAAAGACTTCACAATGAATAGGAGAATGCTCTTTGTCCTTATTCTCTTTTCCTTTAAGATACATTTACGAAAGTAATGCAATGACTGCTGTTATTTTTCCAATGAAATAAACACATTAGATCACGTTTTCTTGGCTGGAGGAATTTCTATAAACACCATAGAATTTGTCACTTGATGATGTGGTGTGAAGCCATATTGCTTTCACCCTGTCAAAACGAGCATCCCGTGCAGCTAGAACCTAGGGCCCGTATTTTTAGCCCACAAAGCTTCAGAGATTGGCATTATCATTTACTGTTTCCTTCAGTGCTTTGCAGTGATCAGCTTTTTTCCTATTGCTCTTCTTTAGTAACATTTTATTAACGTCGTAGAACACCTTTGATTAGGGCATGAGATATTAGAACACATTTTAGCACAGGTTTATTTGTATACCTAAGTTTTCTGAAACAATTTTCTAGTACAGTAAGTAAAAGCAAAATTGGTGTATTTTGAGGAAATAATCTATTCATTACTAAACTACAGTTGGAAGTAAAATTATTCCTATGAGGACAATTTAGTTGAGATATTTGTTTTGGTCAGTGTTACATTTGCATACCCTGACCTTTTGCAAGCAGGTGGAAGCAGTACTAAATTCCCCCTTGCCTTCCCTCCCCTTCTCCCCTGAAGGAAAAAAAAAGATTAGGAGGGAGCAGGGGTGGAGGGGGAAACATTTAAGTTTTCGTTTTATTTATTATGACACCACGTTAGTCAGAATGGTAAATAATTAAAATAATAAATAGTAATAATAAATAGAATTGTTCATGGAAAGCATACTTCATTGCTTCATGTACCGAGGTTGTCTAAAAGAAAGACCTTTAAAGTCTGTGTCGTGGCTCATAGCTGTGACTAAACACTTTTATTCTGAATTGCAAGTTAGAATTGATGCATTTCTTTTTAAAATTTATTTAGTTTGAAATGGATAAAGCTTAGATATTGAGAAGCAAATACCTACAGTTGGTGTTTAAATTAAGGAAATAAATAGCATAAACTTTCAAATTGCTAAACATACAGTTGGTCTTATGGACAGCAAAGGTGAAATTCCTTTTTTGAAATTTAGCTCTTGACGTAAGATCTCCTAATTACTTTACATGTTCGAAGAGTAATCAGAGTCAGCCAAACACTGGAGAAAACAACAACAAAAAAAAAAAATCCCAAGAGATTTCCACTCCTTTTACTCCTCCTGTCTTCTGGTTTCAGTATTTAGTGTTTATTATTCCAGATTTTTAGGCTTTTTTTCACTACCCTGTAATCTGAAATTCTGTATTTCTCTTCCTACAAGATGGGAATAAATATTTAAACCAAAGCTCAAGTAGTAATTGTAGATTTATGACCATTCTGGGGTTGATGCTTAAACCCCAAAGATTATTTACAAAATTAATGCTTTTTGGAGAAGAAAAAAGTTGTCAACTACAAAACACTAAAATTTACGTTATCAATGTTTTCAGGCTTCCTTTGCCACCACCTTCTTGGATAAGGGCATTGGAAAAGATGAAAATCTACTTTGACTATGTTATAAGAAATTCCAAGGTAATTATTTTGTCATTGGGTTAAGTGGGGAAGAGACTGAAAGTCTATCAGGAAATGGATGAATGGAAGCAACATTAATCTGGATGTTATTTTTAATGCCTATCCAACATTGGTTAACAAAGCTAGGAACTTGTAGAAAATAGTATGAAATAGCATTTTTATAAACTAATTAATTGTGTACTGGAAAGAATTAATGTTCTGCAGGTTGCATCTACAGTTGTTCTTAGCACAGCACCATTGTCATCCAAATTTGGAAAACCAAAAGATTTAATTAGACAGAATGTCTTCACCAAGTGCAAGGTATGAACAACTCATTTGCCTGTAATGCTGAACAGTTGATATATGCAAGGGTGAACTTGTTTTAAAATATTTCAGAGAATCTCAGCTTTAGTTTTCTTTGTATTTTATTCTGGCCTACACAACAGAATTGTTTTTTCACAAGATTATGAAGTTTCCACTGCAGACTTACATTTTAATCAAAAGTTGCTATCATTCTGCTACCTCTTAAGCCAGGATCAGTAATAGTTGCACCGAAGTATGGTCTGAAATAGGAGATACCTATAGTAAGAACAGTTGTTTTCCTTTTAGTTGAAAATCATTAAATTTCATGGCAAAACCGTACTGTTAAAAATAAGTATTTCCAGTGTATTAATTATACTGTTAGATTAATACATTTGAATGGAGATCAGTAACAGGTGGTGTCCCTTAGGGGTCCATACTGGGACCGGTGTCATTTAATATCTTTATTAATGACATAGACCGTGGGATTGAGTGCACCCTGAACAAGTTTGCAGATGACCCCAAGGTGCGTGGTGTGGTCGACGCGCTGGAGGGAAGGGATGCCATCCAGAGGGACCTGGACAGCCTGAGGGAGTTGGGCCCGTGTTAATCCCATGAAGTTCAGTAAGGCCAAGCGCAAGGTCCTGCACAGGTGCTGGGGCAGTCTCCGTTATCAGTACAGACTGGGGGATGAATTGATTGAAAGCAGTCCTGCAGAGAAGGACTTGGGGACACTGGTGGATGAAAAACGGGACATGAACTGACAGTGTATGCTTGCAGCCCAGAAAGCCAACTGTACCCTGGGCTGCATAAAAAGAAGTGTGATCAGCAGGTCGAGGGAGGTGATTCTCCCCCTCTGCTCAACGCTGTGAGCCCCTACCTGGAGTCCTGTGCCCAGCTCTGGGGCCCCCAGCACAAGACAGACATGGACCTGTTAGAGTGGGTGTAGGGGAGGGCCACAGAAATGATTGGAGTGCTGGAACACCTCTCCTATGAAGACAGGCTGAGAGAATTGGTGGTGTTTAGACTGGAGAAGAGAGGGCTCTGAGGAGATCTTATAGCAGTCTCGCAGTACTTGAAGGGGGCTTATGAGGAAGATGGAGAAACTTTTTACCAAGGCCTGTGGTGACAAGACAAAGGGTAATGGTTTTAAACTGAAAGAGGGCAAGTTTAAATTGAACATAGGGAAGAAGATTACTATGATGAGGCTGGTGAGGCACTGGCACAGGGTGCCCAGAGCAGCTGTGGCTGCCCCCTCCCTGGAAGGGTTCCAGGCCAGGTTGGACGGGGCTTGGGGCAACCTGGGCTGGGGGAAGGGGGCCCTGCCCGTGGCAGAGGGGTTGGAAGTGGATGATCTTTAATGTCCCTTCCAACCCAAACCATTCTGGTTTTCTGTGGTTAAAATACAAGTTTTAGTGAACTTAACTGGACATCTTTCAGTGATATAAGTTGACTTTAAAACTATCAAAAGATACTGTTACCTTGTCTCATGGGTTTCCACTTCTGTGTTGACCTGAAAATGTAAATACAGTACTCAAAGCTTTTTGGGGTGTAGAGGAGTGTTTTGTTTTTAAATTTCAGAATGAGCTGTAGACATTAGTATATGCTTTTTTTGTAATTTATACCTAATATAAGGACACTGATTATTCTAACTTGGAGTACTTTCAAGGTACTATCTGAGGTTTCCATTATCACAATTTAATTTCAGTGGACTAGTGGGAATACAACTGCATGCATTCTGGCACAGTATCTTTTCCACATGAACTTACAAATTTGGTGGGTATAGAAGGATAGTGAGTATGTTAAAACATATGTTCAGATTGCAACAGGTTTTAAAATATGTGCTTAATTTTTAAAAAGATAGAATCATAGATAAAACAAATTGTAGCTGTGAATTGATACAAAAATTACATTGTAGCTATTTTTGCTAGAGACAGTTCAAATAATCTGCTACATATTATATACTAAGCAAAGTTACTGTAACAATCTATTATAAATGTGCTTTTTCTTCTTGTATAAATCTTCATGAAATACAAATGAAATAGGTGAAATTATAGTATCTAGTAAGAAATTAAGGTAAAAAGTAAGCATCTTTGGATATAAACCTGTTTTTCAGTTCTATTGCATGAAAAAGTATATATGAAGCATAGAGAGAGCAGTACATTTGCAAGCTCTTTAACTCTTGGCACAGCATAAGATGAGCTGATGTATTTCTTTAATTACATTCCTGAAGAATGTAACTTTTAAAAGTGCAGCAAATTGAGAAATACTGTGCTGTGCTTAAGAATGGAGTCCTATTTAATATGAGCCCTGTATTTCAGATCTTCAGTGCTGTTTTGTGCAAATGTAGCAGCTTTGCATTTTGTGCTTGCTGAAAGGTAGTAGGGACTGATACATGTGTAAATCGGTTTTGCCAGATGGCTGCTTAGCTCTACAGTCATTTCCTGAATCTCATGCTAGGGATGATACAAGACAATCTTCAGGCTCTCTGAGCCTCACATCAGAAATCTCCTTTTTCTGTGAAGGTAACAATTCTTTGCACAAACATTTTTGCCCTTCATGCTGAAGTCTGCCAGGTAACTGAGCAGTCTTATCCCGTAGTGCTGAAAAGAACATTTTGGACTGTATCCAGGGCAATTGTTTATGCTGAAGATAAAATCTGGAAGTGTGAGAGGAAGTAATCTAAGCTTTGTACTAGCTAATATTAGTATAAAGAGTGAACTTCCCTTAGCCCTTGCTTCCCCAGGGGAGGAGATCAGTAAATTACCATTCAGGACATGAAGTCAGTATCTCAGAAGCCTCCTGTAATATGTCTGCTGGATGATGACTGATAATTAATGCTTCTACACATCTTGAAGTTTTATTCTCCTTTTACAGATTTGGCATTACTACCAATTGTCTAGTTGGGAGGAAGGGAAGGATAGACTTCTTGTCAATAAAATACAGACAGGCAACTGTGGCTTCAGGGATCTGCTATGCCAGTCTCTGGGAGACTAAAGTAAAAGGACATTCAGATAATATCTTCTTGTAAGTAGAAGTGATAGGATGGTAAAATGCAAGAGTTGCCCCTTTCAGGCTTCTGTATGTGATAATAACTATTCCTTACAAGGCTGGTTTTGCTTTGTTAAAATAAAAGGTAGCTGACACAGTTCATTGCTTGAGGATTAATGTTTTTATTTTGAATTTTTGAGGTAACTACCTATTTAAAAAAAGTAATCTGTAATTGCATATGGACACTGAGTGGTAGATTGATAAGGTTTTCTTAGTGTGTTCCTGATATACTTGAATTTGAGTCTTTCTGTTCTACTCTTGCAATTATTGTTCGCTGTCATCTGCACACAGAAAAGACTTCTCAATCAGCAGTGCACTTAATTTTTTGGAAAACCAGATATTTGATTTTATGTTAATGCTGGAATCTTCTCAAAGGCAGAGGTCTGGTCTTGCTTCACTTCTTTAATGCTTTTACTTGGGAGCTTTCTTTTATGAAGTTTATTTCTTCACCTCTTAAATTCTTGTTGCTATTCATTAGCATTAGAAAAAACAAAACTTCTGTCTGAATTACCATGAAAACAGTACACACTTTCATCTGGGAGTTATAGGCATAATACTAATGCTTTAAGTATTTTTTGTGTGTGTGCATTTGTTTTTAGGCTGGCATTCTTACGCTTTGTGTTTACCACCAGCAAAGAGAAAGGCTACTACTTTCTCAGCTACAGCTTTGGTTTCTGCATGTTTGAAGGAGGGAGTATGCTCCAAATCCTACCTTGACTTGGGTGGAGGTCCCAGCGGCATTTCTCAGCTGTGGCTAAACTGCATGGGTTGCAGGAGACAGCCATGCTTCTGTCTGGTTCTTCAGACAGGGGGCTGGGAGCAGGTGGTCAGGTGGGACATGCGGAGGGAAAGGCAGCAAACCAGGCACTCCTTCATGTCCCTGTGAAGTCACTTATGTGAGTCTCAATGTGGGCACCAGGATTTTAAAGTAATACATGAAATTAGTTTCTAGAAAACAGTGTTTCAGGCTTTTAATAAAATGGTTTTGAGAAAGGAGAGCTTACTAATGGTAAAATTGTAATTCTATTTTTTATTTATGTATTTAATATTTTGTTACTGCTAATGGAATTAATTAATTGAGATTATAATTTCGGTTTCATATATAGGGAATATAGAAAGTTGAGGGTAATTGTCTTCTACTCTTATACATGCGTATAATAGCATACTATTTCAGGGGAGAAAAAATCCCTCACAACAAAGTAGTTAGATATCTCTTGGCCTTTGATTTTTCACCAGTTCCCTCCTTAACTCTGGTACTGTTTTCTGGAGAAAGTTCAAGATAGTGGTCTGTTTAAGAATGTGAGTCACCTGATATGTAATAGTTCATTGACTATTTCAACACTACATTTAGACTTAATTTGAAAGTGAATCCAGTGTTTAATGGTAAACTACTCTGAAATGTTTGAGAGCTCAGTTCAATTATGGAATTCCTGAATTGAGATAAATTGTATGCAAAATCCTGATGGTTCATTTTAAAAATGTTGTGATTTAGTTGCATGTTGCAGAAAACCAAATTTTGTTTGTTAATTTGAAGGGTTGATTATGTGACTAAACAAATTTAATATTTGCTAAGAGAGAAGAATTTTAAATGTTCTCAAAGATTTTTATTTTATCAGTGTATAATTTACTTGGGTAGAACATGAGTAGTACAAGTGCTAATGTTACCCAAA